CCTGTCTGCATTTCAAAAATGACAAGGAGCTCTTTTCCTCTCAGCTTGGGGATTTGGAGCTGCTTGTCTCTGCAGGTTCCTGGAGGGCCTTGTTGCCAGATGCTTCTCGGTGCTTCAAGAGCCCTTGACAACAGCTTCAGGGGTGCAAAGAATCCAGTGCCTTCACTGCTCCATCCTCTGCTTCCTGACTTTGGGCTAGTTCTTCCCCTCCTGAACCCGGCCAAAACACAAGTCAGGTTCCCACCTCTGTTGCCTAGTCTCTTCCTAACTGAAGATGAGAAGATGCATTGACACCAGAGATCTATTTGCAGGGCCTTGAAGCCTGGAGGTGGGCATGGCTCGTTGCAGGGACAGGCTTCTATCTTTTCCTTATGTTCATCCTGCATTTAGATCTTGGCAAATCTGAGCCAAATGAGCTGTTAAAGATCCTGTTCTAGTGCTCTTTAAGCAGATCTTAATCCCAGCTCTCAATGTATGCAACAGTGCAAGAAACAAGAGTTTGTTCAGCCAGCATGTGATATTCTTGACGTGCCTGGGTCCTAGAAGACCCTTGCCTGCTGCTGAGGTTGGGATGGCCCTAAAGGAAAACTTTAGCCACCAGGTTCACAGTGAGGACTTTTATTTGGGCTTCACCTTGAACTAAGTGTGTATCCTAAGTATTTAGACTTGCAAAAGTAGCTGGCTGAAGCCTCTACCTCCCCAAAATCAGCCTGGCGAGGGTGCCCCTCTGTTTTGGAGGTCACTTTACTGGGCTTTTCCACAACCAATTGCCTTCTGAGAGGACAGGATGAAATCTCAAACATTTTTAGCAGGAATATGCTCAGCAGCACAGCTGTGCAGTCAGATCCCATTGGCTCCTACCAAAAGTGAGGTTAGAAATGGGCAGGAATTGTCTCCACATAAATGCTTGCTGGCTCCTGGTTACAAGGCAAAGACAAAAACTTTCGACAAGAACTTTCCACAGGGTGCTCTAAACCAGAAGGCAGAATGCAGGGTGCAACCACGATGCAAACCCACCTGAGCCATGAAGTCCTCCAAACCTAAAGGAATAAGTTCTACAGAACCCAAAGTAACAAGTTCTGCAGTCTGTCAGCTGAGGAAAAGCTATCAACCCACTGCTGCTTTTAATATCTTGGGTCTTCCTCCCCTCTCCTGGTTTTCTAGGCTTTTCCTTGGCCTCCAAGACTTACTGGTTAGTCACAGGAAAAGAAAAAGCAGGCAGCAAGTGAAGTCATAGACCTGATATAAAAAAGGGAAGCTGCAACCCTATCCTGGAGGAGTGGAGGGTGCAACACCAGCCAGGGCAAGTGAGGAAGACTAAAGCTGCCTTATGGCTCATCCCTGATCAGTCTCTGCTTGCATCAGATCCAGAGAAACTCTGACTGGGTAGTTGTCTATAAAATGTAGACCCAGGCCTGCTCTTAGGTCTTTATAGCCCCTGTGAAGGCTTAAGGGAAAGCAAGCCTTGCAGGTGAAAGGCACCTGGGTGACTAAACCGAACCCTGCAAAGCCTTTGCAGACAGACCGCTGTGGACGAGGATCTTTATCATGCTGCTGCTCTGGCTTTCTGATTTTGCAGATCTGTTTCATTTTGTCCCATGAGACAATTAGGTGCATTTTCTTGAGGTATAAAATCTCATATCTGCAAAATAAGAAAGATTTTATACCTCAAGAAAATGCACCTATCTGCAAAATAAGAAGAGCTGAGAGTGTGCAGTAGGATGCTGGGATCCAGATGTAGCTAGGACTGTGCTATCTGCCTTCTGGATACAGTGGTGATTCTTGCTCTGTGCACAAATTCTGGAATCCAGATATTTGCTCACTTCCTCTCCCCAGTCTCTTACATGTTCTTGGCAGCTTTTAATGTTTTTAAATCACCTTTTAATAAATAATAATTTTTAAAAGGAAATAGAGATGATTGTAACTGCTAGACTTATTGTTCCTGCCAAAGGCTGCACTTTTAAATAAAAAAACTCGCTACTGTTTGTATGAAAAATGAAACTGTAATGGAGAAGAAAAAATACGAGGAAGAGCAGTACCAGTCTACTGTAAAGACCAAAAAAAATAAATAAATCTTTTGAAACTCTACCCTGTGTCAGCCTGTTCCCTTCAGCCTCTCTGAAGATCAGACCAGATGTGGGGTGGCAGATTAGGCAAGCTGGTTAATATAAACCCTTAACAGAACCTGCCCCACGCTCCAGGCCTCTCTGATCTGATCTTTAATAACTGACTGAGCTTGTGGTATGGAGACTGTCTCCTGTAAGCCAGCACATTTATTTATTTATTTATGGGGACTTTTGGGGAAAAATGTTTTAAGGAGTGAGAGGAACCCCTCATGAGGCACTTTGTGCCCTCGAAGACTTTTTTCTGCCCTCAAAGGCTTTTTTCCGTCCTCTCTGCTCCCGTGGCTGCCACTCGCTACCTCAGCACGGAACAGCACCGGGGCGGGGGGCGAGTGCGTTTTCCTGTGTTTTTCCACTGTTTCTCCCCAAAAGGTGGCCTTGCTCTCAGCTCTGGGGCCTGCTGCGGCCCCAGAGGAACGGCCCCGTGATAGTGACCCGGTCGCCCCTAGAGGGGGAAGCCCTAAGGTCAACGAAGCCCATGGAGGACTCGGCCCTGCCATGGAGGACTCGCCCCGCCTCCCGCCGCTACGAACCAGCGAGAGCGCTGACTAGAGCGGCCCCACCTCCCGCCCTCAAGTGTCGTGCGCGTCCCCGCCGGAAGCGGAAGTGAGCGCGCTGGCGGGCGGGTAGCGCGGCTGTGTGGCGGGGCCGGCGGCTCTGGGCGCTGTCGCTATGGGCGACGACATGGACGTGATCCCCGAGCGGGAGATGAAGGTGGGGGGGAGAGGGGCCTGTCGCTTTGTTTGGAGGCGGGGGGGGGCTTGACCGGGGGGATGATGGGCCGGGAGGGAGGTTTAGGGGGGAGCCCTTGGATTGTGAGGGATTGTAAGTGGATTGTAAGGAGGGGGAGCGCTGATGGGGTGCAGGGCCTTTGAGGGGTGTTTCTGGCATTGGGGGACACTTGGGGACCTTCTAGCAGGCTCTGGGACAGGCCCGGGGGTGCAGGAGGGTTCACTGGCTTGGTCTGCCATAGAGGGCATTTTGGTAAAGGCTTGAGAAGGGTGAGGGACTTGGTGATGAGCTCTGCCCTTTTCCATAGATCTTAAGGGAGCTGGTGTCTTAAGCAAGAAAATGGGGGAGTTTTATGGGTTGGATTGATACCAGTCCTTCTGTCTGCGTGTCACTGGGGTGCCTCTGCCTCTAAAAACAGGAGGTGTGAGCACAGCCTGCACGTGTGGGTTGCCTGGAGTCTTGTCCTGGCCTTGCCCTTCCCTGCCCTCCCCAGAGTGTTACTGGGGGGAAAGGGGGACAGGGCTCTCTGTGCAGATGCCTCAAGCCCATGTACATCTTCATGCAGCTGCTGCCTGTTCAGGCACCTCCAAAAACAAGGGAGTGGGGCTATTTGTCTTGTTGGAGGTACCGAGTTTCTGCAGCCTCCTTCCAGTGCAGGACAGCACTTGCTGAGGGCTTTGAAACCGTTAAATTAAAATCAGGTGTTTAGCTTGTGTTGCTAGCCTTAGAGTCAGTGCTTTGTTCAGCGATTGATGCTTTGGGAGACCAGGCTCATTGCTAAAGAGAGCCTAGCGTTTCACCTGGTAACAGTGTAACCTTTGCTTCCTAATTCCTTCAGGTTGTGTTTCTGTAGCTTTATGGTTTCTGCACGTTTAGCTCACTCTGTTCTTCCTGCTTTCACAAATGATAATGCAAGTTATGAGAGAAATGAGCACACAAAATACATTTGATTGTACAAAGCAATCACTGTTCTAGAGAAGTTGAATTGTTCCTCTTCAGCAGCATACAAACAGCTATTTCCTGGCTCTCTTGCAACAGGATTTTCAGTTCAGAGCACTGAAGAAAGTCCGGATCTTTGATGCTCCTGATGATCTTCCCAAAGAGCGCTCCAGTCTCCTTGCAGTGTCCAACAAATACGGACTGGTCTTTGCTGGTGGAGGAACCAGCCTCCAGATTTTCCACACTAAAAATCTTCTCATGCAAAATCAGCTGGGAGAAGATCCCAATAAAATTGGTGAGGCATATTGATGTGTTTTATGGGTTTTGATATGGGAACACGATGTCAGGGTGCTCTGTGCTAGCTCGTGTTCAAAAGTCATGCAGGCTTCGTGTGTTATATTCAGTGCCACGTGGTAAGATTGGATTTTCCCATGGGAGAGCGTGCTACTTTCCATGCAGCCCTACTCTTGATAGCCAGATTTTGGGCTTGTATAAATATTAGAGACATGTGCCAGCAGCATGAAGCAGAGTTCTTGCGCTGAGTTTTCCACTTTGAATAAACAACTGTCCTGCAAGAGAGGAGGAAATTAATATCCCACCAGTCTACAACCCAAGTGCAAAACTCTCTTCATTTTTACCATTCCCTTAGAAATTATATCACCCTAAGTATCCACACGCTCACTTAAGTAAAATGTAAAACGTGTCCTGTTATCTTTCCTTCTGGTTAATGAGAGGGTGAATTTGAGAGCCTCTGTTGAGATTGTATTGATAAAGATGCAGGTTTTGCTTTCCCATGGTGTATTTTCCATGTATCAACTCTGACAGCTACTGTTTATAGGACTGTATGTTAGGCATTTTTTTTTTCCCCATAAATTTATTCTAACTGTATCGTTTGAAAAACTTGGCCACTTCATGCTTCCTGCTTTTCATGCTTCCTGCTTTTTCTTTTGTTTTTAAGTTGAGAATGTTCAGAGTACTGTGGTTCCTATGAAGTTTCCTGTACAGCATCTGGCTCTAAGCTGTGATAACCTCACACTCTCAGTCTGTATGATGTCCAGTGAGATCGGTTCCTTCATTGCCTTTTTTGACGTCCGTACGTTCCTAAATCAGGTAATATCAACACAAAGTGGTGTCTCCCACTGCTCCCCTCCCTCATCTTCTAAAG